TGAACTGCGGAAGGAATACTGTGTTGACAATGGACCGTATGTGGATTAAGTGAAACAAAAACAAAGTTGTTTGGCTGAAAAATCATTTAACTGAACCTTGATGGAGGATAAATGTGTCACGTAGGTACAAATTTGGGATTTTGATGTCACCAGAAAAGTTTAAGGTAAATGTGTCACAATAGGTATAGTTTAGGTTTTTTATGTCGTAAAAGAAAAGTTTAGGATAAATGTGTCACAGTGGACATAATTTTGAAATTTTTATGATTTTTTCCCTTTCAATAAAATGTAAGGTAAAATCTAACCAAGTAATACCATGGAATAAAGCTTGATCCTATTCATGGGGATTTCGTGAATATTTCATTCCAAACATAGAAAGTTTGAAACGATCGGAGCGTTTTTGGAGATTGGATGCAGTTGCTAATTCGTGACCTGACATATACCAAATGAAAACCCTATTCTCAATTTTTACAAGAACTTTTACGATAGCCTTTCGTTTGCTTTAATGCTGTTCCTAAACTTAAATTAATGGAAGATCAACATTGAATATTTTCATATAGTCGAGAGATTAAATTAAATTTGAATAAAAAAATTCAGGGATCACATTAAACAAATTAAAAGTTCAGAGACGATGTTGCAGATTGAGCTAGTTTATGGATCATATTGAACAAATTTAAAGTTCAAAGGACCACATTGTATATTAGGTAAAATTCATGGACCTTTTATGTCAGTCTCCCAAAAAGATAATGACGCGCTCCCTCTGTATGGAAAGAGAGCTATGGCGATTAATCTAAATAAAGTAGTGGCGGCTCTGAATTAAAAAGTTAGTTTGCGAGGTTGATGCTGGCTATTGGATGAACGGCAAATTGGCAATGGCACGAGATGATGGATCAGTGCCCCTATCTCGGCCCCCGTGCATGGCACGAGGTAAAGTTTCCCTCTTCTGGAAAGGGATAATGACACAAAAAGTCCATAAACTTTGATCAAATATACAATTTGATCCCTAAACTTTTAATTTATTCAATATAGTCCATGAACTTTAGCCTAATGTTCAATATGGTCCCTGAACTTTTAATATGATCAATGTCATTCCTGAACTTTTGGTACATGTTCGATTCAGTCTCCAAACTATACGAAAATGTTTAATGTAGTCCCTGAACTTGAATTAATGGAAAGGACTGTATCGAACATTTTCACATAATTTAGGGACTGAATTGAACATGTATCAAAAGTTCAGGGATGATATTGAACAAATTAAAAGTTCAGAAATCACATTGCATATTGGGTTAAAGTTCATGGACTACATTGAACAAATGAAAAGTTCATATACCAAATTGCACATTGGGCCAAAGTTCATGGACCATTTGTGTCATTTTCCCTTCTGGAAAAGGATAATTTATCAATATAAGATTCGCCGAAACATTTTGCTAGGAGTCTTTATTTGAATATAGAAGTTTTACTCAAAAGGCATCCTCGAATATGAAATGGTTTAGCGGTATTAATAAAATGTAACGTAAAATCTAACGAAGTAATACTATGAAATAAATTTCGATCCTATTAAGGGGAATCCGTAAATATTTCATTCCAAAAAGAGGAAGTTTAAAACAATCGGAATGTTTGTGGAAACCGGATGGGATGGCCAATTCATGACCTGACATTAGTCATGGCCACGGGCCGGTTTTGGCTCAGAACCGGCCCGGTGAATATTTTAAAAAAAAATCATTATTTAATTTTTTTTTATAAAACAAATTGAACTCTAATTGCCATGCATTGTAAGTGCATTGATCTCCAATTATAATGCTTGGCTTGAGTGTATTGAGCTCTAATTACAAAGCTTGGCTTGGGTTTTATAAACAACTCCTTTGATGGTCTCTTCATTCCCAATCGATGTAGGACTCTCGGCTTTCATATTTTTATAATTCATTATTTTTTTATTTCATAATTTATTTTTAAAATTTTTAAATTACGAACCGGAACCGGCTGGTTCCGAACCGTGGCCATGACTACCTGACATATACCAAATGAAAACCTTATTTTTATAAGAATTTTTATAAAAGCCTTTCATTTGTTTTTCTTTTATGGAAATTTTATTTTCTCAGAATGTATCCTAACTTTTTTTGGCTAATTCTTCCAATGATCGATTATTTTGAACATGAAAGTTTAGTTCAGAGAACATTTTAAAAAGATAAATAATTTTGCTATTTAGTTTTTCCGTTCAATTATGACTTTCATATTTTCCTCCGGCGCTCCCATTCTTTTCATGATTTTATCACCTTATTTGTGGCTACCTATTATTTTTTGTACAAAAACTTAATTCTATAATAGATCATGTCCGGTTCCTTCGGAGGATGGATCTATAAGAATTCGCCTATCCCAATAAGAAAAAAACCTGACTTAAATGATCATGTATTAAGAGCTAAATTGGCTAAAGGGATGTATTCGTTCTGTAGCGGATCTCTTACAAAATCAATTTGGATTGGCGCTGGTTCGTTTATAAAATGTGATTAGAGGAACTAAATGTGGAGCAATTTGGCATAAATTAATATTGACTCCTCAAAATTTGATGAATTATACCATTTGATCCCTTTATCAACCAAAAAAAGGAAATTTTAGTAAATAACCAAATATAACACTTGAGCTAAGGGTCAAAGTTGGTAATTTTTCTTACATCTCCTCCTCCGGGCCCAGGTATCATATATGCCTCCAAATAAAAAGCCTTGAAACTATAAAAAAAAATGTATTGTAAAGTTAAAATATAATAATGAATAACGTTGCCTTTCATAATAGATATTTAGGTTAATACCACGAAAAACCTCAAATTAGTACACCTAAGATAAATTTATCCAAAATTAATTTTTTGACATCCAAAAATCCCAAACTGGTACACTTGTGACAAATTTATCAAAACTAATTTTTTTGACTACCAAAAACCCTAAACCAGTACATTTGTGATAAATTTATCCTCAATTAGTTTCCGTTAAATTGGATTAATACGAAAAAAATCACAAACTGATACACCGGTGACAGTTGGAGGGTAAAACCCAAAACTAATACATTCGTCAACTGCCGCGTATCATTTAACAAAGCAATTTAACTGTAAAATTTAACGAAAACTAACGAAGGGTAAAATTGTCACATGTGTACCAGTTTGATGTTTTTCGTGGTATTAACCCTATATATTTCACACTTTTTACTTGCTTTAACCTATACTTAGTATTCACATTTTGATGGACTAATATCACGAAAAATCCCAAACTGATACACTTATGACAAATTTATCCAAAACTAATTTTTTGACCACGGAAAACCTCGAACTGGTATACTTGTGACAAATTTACTCTAAACTAATTTTTTGACCACTAGAAAACCCCAAACTGATACATTTGTGACAAATTTACCTTCCGTTAAATTGGATTAATGCCACGAAAAATCACAAACTGATACAACTATAACAAATGAAGGATAAAACCCCAAACTAGTACACCAATCAATTGTCACGTGTCATCCAACGTAGAAATTTGACGGTAAAATTTAACGGAAACTAACGGAGGGTAAAATTATCATAAGGGTATCAGTTTGGGGTTTTTGATAATTAAAAAATTAGTTTGGAGTAAATTTATTACATATGTATTAGTTTGGAATTTTTCGTAGTATTAACCCGTTAAATGTGAATACCGGAAGTGGAACTGATCTTTGGAGGAAACGTGATGATCTACAAGTGAGAGTGGAAAGGTGATAGCTTATCATCAATTTCTCGTATCTTGGGCCACGTAGAAAGCCCATGGATAGTCCGGTCCATCATTGAGGATTGTCAGTAGATTATGGCCCAAATGTGGGGAGTGTCTCTAGCCTTTTGTTCCAGTGAAGCTAATTAGCCGGCAGACTGAGTTACGAAGGCCTACCGAAATGAGTTTCTAAGCCCAAATTGGATTTACGATCCCCCTATCCTCTTTTGGCTGCGTTTGGTCGTCCGAATTTCTAAATAGGATAGGACTGAATAGGATAGGATAAGAAATCCTGGGATTTCTTCATATCCTATCCACTGTTTGGTGGACTACGGATTTAAAGTCGGATAGGATAAATTTTTTTTTTTTTTGCTATTCACGGGTCCGGAGGAGTCGGTGAAGGAAAAAAAGCCGAGAAATTTTTTTGGTGAAAGCGCACAAGGTGTGGGGATGAAGATGACGGCGAGTGGAGCATAGGGTTGCTGGAAAAATAGACATTAGAAATCCTATCCAGGTCTATCCCACCCCCCCTCGGATTTTTTTATCCGGACTATATCCGGTCTATATCCGACCTTATCCTATCCTGGACCACCACCAAACACAGGATATGATAAAACATATCCTATCTTGGCTTTTATCCGGTCGACCAAACGCAGCCTTTGGTCTTTGTCATGTTATGATTTTGAACCCTCGTGTTCTACTTTCAAGTTATCAATGAAATCAAGGCACTTTTCTGCCCCCCAAAAAACAAAAATCGCTTTGCAATACTGCAATCTCCGGTGTTCCTCACGGTGGAATGAATAATCAAATTATTGATGTTGTTGGACAAGTTTTTAAGGGAAGCAATCTGGCAATGATAAAAGGTACAACAATTTCAGGTGATTCCTCTCCTTTAGTTTCCGATGACATTAGATACAGACCAGATCCTCAGTGAAACAACTATGGTTTCCGATATTCTCACGGCCGGTCCTGTGGAAATTGCATCATCGGTAACTTACGGTGGTTCGTGTCGTTTGCAACCGAATTCAGGGGAAGCAACATATGCTCCACCCACTTGGTGTAGGTTTCTGCACATTGAAGACACAATCTAAAGCTCTTTTGGGTCGGGCACAAGAATGATTTGTGTAGGTGCATTTTCATAAGAACCTTGGACTGTAAAACGGTGTTGCTTACCCGTGCACCAGAACACACGTAGTTCATGGGACATGTCGAAAAGTGAGAAAGGGATTGCAAACGCCTGGACAGTCAGGCATGACAATTACAGAGAACTAGCAGAAATGAGGAGAAGAAAAGCAACGTAGATAAAACTCGAGTTGCAGTCGCAAGCTGACCAAAATACAAATGTTTGTACAGGACACAGCGACCCTCTAGAACAGATGCTCACTCACGACACCAAGCCTATCAATTACAGGAAGGCATCCTTCTCAAGAAGCTTTAGGACCTCACTCTGGTTGTTTAGCTTAGCAACATCAATAGGTGTCTTTCCGTCCAAGTTCTGTAGAGTGCTGGAACAGCAAATAGCACAAGAAGAAAGCAAACGGAAAACACGAATCAACAACTTATGAATTGCGAGAAAATATTGGAAACATGAGCAATTTACTTACACAGCGGCACCGTGTTCCAACAGTAGTATGACACATTCTTTCCTGCCATAGCCAGCTGCATAGTGAAGTGCAGTGTTCTTGTTCTTGTCCAGCGCATCCACGGCAGCTCCAGCTTCAAGGAGTACCTGAGCGCACTTGACCTGCAATCGATATGAAGAGTCATTTTAGTTGCTTGTTTGGATTACGAAGATCCCATAACTCTCAAAACCTACGCCAAAGAGTCAATTCACAAAGGGACGGGCCAATGAGAGGGCACTGGAATATTTTTCTGAATACTAGCATCTAACACACACACACACACACACACACACATTCCTATAAAATCTTCATAAACTTCCCCCATTATTTTGTGCCATCATGTTCCCACTTGGCTTTGCCACAGATATTCATAACAACAGTAAAATTTACCCTGGACAACGATGGTTTGAATTTGCCGGCTTAGATTGTACAGAGGTACAAACATATTTATCATTTTTCAAATGAAAGATAGGTAAAACGAAAGCGCAAAATAATTGGAATCCCCAAGTTCCTCAGTAATCAAATTGACCATACCTCACCATATCCACATGCAAAATGCAAGGCTGTTCTTCCCTCTGTATCCTCTTCATCCTTGTTAGCACCAGACTCCAGCACTTTTTTCAACCCCTGATCAGCATGAGTCTCAACTTTTGCACTTCGTCTAAAACAATATGCCCAATAAGGGGCAATAATCCTAGCTCAACATTTCAACAGAAAGAAAAGAATATTTATCCATTATTCACATAAAGATAAAAGGAAAGCACATTCTTGCCTCCAGGATCAACTGAAAAGGCATAAGGTTTGGAGAAAACATTTTTGCAATATTTGGTATAGTGTCAACAAGGTGAAAAGGTCCACATCATTTTTATAAGAATTTAAAAGCAAGAGTAAAGTCATGAAAGCGCAGTAGCATCTAAACTACCATAATATGTTCTACACGGGATAAGAACTGATATTACTAATATCTAAAGCAAGCCATAATAATCTGAAGATCGATAAATTTAATTTATACCTCCACGTCACCAACACTAGCAGTGTGGTGAACAATCGATTCATCCTCATTTCCCTCATCTTCTTCTTCCTCAGGAATATTTTCAGCTGAAGTGCCTGTATCTCCTGCAACTGGAAAACCCATGGCCTCCCCAAGCTTCTTTAGAACGTCTCTATCATTCCAGTACCTGTGAACAGAATAGTTCATAAAAATCCTCCACAATATCATGCTCCCAATCCACAGCTCACGCAAGCAATAATTCTTCACTCAAGCTCTGGACACTGACAATAATCTTTGTAAGATCTATAATCATCTCCTACCTCATCATGGCAGCTGGACCACCTGTCTCTATTTCTTCAAATATGTGCTTGATAGATGGATCTTCTTTCATAAGTGCCATTCTTTCCTCCATTTGTTCTTTTCTTAATGGATTTGCCAAATTCTCAAGCATGCTTGACATAGATGGGTCCTAAGAAAAAGAGGAAAGAAGATATTGGCATGACAACATTCACAATACTTCACATAAGAAAGCCAGAAGTATGTACACTAAGCGAAACAGCATTACTTGCATTAGGGCACTCCCAAGTCTCTCAGCCATAGCCATGAATTGAGGATTCTGCATAACTTGCTGCATGGTGGACTGATATTGTCTAGGATCAAATTGCGGAATGCCTTCTCCAGCAGAGCCTTGAAAAGTCTTTTGCAGCTGCTCTGTCATCTTGTTGAATGTAGGATCCTTACCTATCTGTTGGGCTAATTCCTTGATGCTAGGGTCCTATACATATTGCACAACAAATAACGAAAATCAAGAGATAGCACGCACTAGATGAAGAAAATATATGGGGTGACATCCAAAAGCGAACCTTCAGACTATACAGTAGACAAAACACAACACGGTGAAACATCCAGACGTCAAAGACTAATCTGAAGTAACAACCACAAGAAAGGAGAAAGAAAATAAAAAAGAATTTCAACAGACATTGTTTCATCTCCAACTGAATTCTGAGCAACTCCTAAGACCATGATTAAAAAAAAAAAAGACAAGATTGGTACCGTCACCTCCCCAATGCATCTTGCCCTCTCTAGGGCCAAAATTTCCAAACAGCATTTCCCAAATGGAGCAACTATCAGAACAAAAAACAATCTTTGCCACAAGCATAAAACTCCTATTTTGCAGGATTACTTAAGTTCATACTCTAAACCAGAGAAAATCATCCAACCGCACTTACTCCTAACTGTGTTAAACAATGTCATCAAACCAACAAGAATGCCTTGGTAAAGATTAAAACATCCGATAACAAATACCATAAAGGCTTTAAGTACTTAATAAGTGAAGGGACCTGCTGCTTTGTTATGTGTATTCTTCTTTAAGTTGCATATCTTTAATAAGTCTAGTTATAGGACGACTACAATAAATGACTCCTAGAGAAAATGTTTATATTCCTTCAGAAACAATCATGAAAAGAAGAGGAGATGGATTAGCAGAATATACATTAAGAAGGTTTGACATGGCTGAGAAATCAAAAGGGTTGCCAGCCAACCCAACTCCAGGAGGTGAAGCATCTGATGACACCTCTGCGACGGATGGTTCAGACTTGCGACCTATGCCATCAGCAACACTGACTTTATCACCTGAAAATGTCCAAAACCACAATCACCATATGGCTTCTAGCAAATGCATTTATAACCAGCAAAGAAACTGCTTAACAATTTACTTTACTAGAGAAGGAAGTCTTTGCAGAAAACATATCCAGTACTTGCAAATGTCTTATTAGCACATCACATGCCTTACGTGCGAAGCATACGATGCCAAAAACAGTAAAACACATAACTTCATGAGCCATAAGGAATCAAGAAAACTGGAACTTGGAACTTTGATTCGTAAATTTCCTCGACGACACAGGCATAGGTCCTTGAGCAAGCCTCTAACACAAGCCAATTCTTTCAATCTAAGGGATGGCTTTACATGGTCTATACTCAACTCCCAAGTTGGGCTTGGACCATAAGCTTCTAAATGAGTTACAGTGAAGGTCGACTTGCCTCCAAAGCAACGCCCCCGGTAATTACAATCAACTAGGTAAAAGCAATATGGATATGACCCAACATCAAAAGCACGGTTATTATAGTGCCAATATCAAAGATGACAGGACATTAACATTCATTTAAAGCCACATAAGCACTCGAAGCTCAAATCCTACGAAAATCAAGTTGAATTCTCATCTTAGGTCATATCAACACCAATCTTCAACCATTCCACTACATATTTGTGTTGGCATTAGTACTTCAATACGTAAACTTGAAATTCAGATCTTTACAAGCCACAAACTATAAAACAATTTTTTGCAAAGTTCACTATCTGGTAGAAAAAAAGCGGAAGAAAATTCACAAGCCACCTCACCAAAACCATATACAAGATGCAATCAAACCAATTAATGGATAGAAATCTCAACATAATAACAAGCTAAACTAACGGAATCAAATTGGTTAGTTGAACTATGAACAAACAACTAACCAAAACAGCACACACTGGTAGCGTCAAAGCTTACCAGATGGAGCACCCTTTGGGGAATCTGACGCCATATCTGCAATCAAGCACAAAAACAGAATCACACGAGCATATTAGGAACAACCTGGTAATGATTTCTTGAATTTTTTGGTTTTGGGCTGAACAAGAAAGTTGAAGCTTCAGGATTATGTAACATAACAAAAAACATACTTTTTTACACTTTTGTGTAAAACGTATACCTTTGTCAAGTGTAATTATTTACAATAAATCTGTAAATAGTAAACACTTTTTGATTTTCAACGATAATTCCAATGCAATTCTAAATACTTGAAACATTTCCGATTGCCAGATGCATTTTCAACAAGTATGCAATGATTATATCTCCGTTTTCGATAATCCCATGAACGTGCCATCATATACTTTTCAAAGTACATAAATTTTCATAAATCATCTCGTGCAGCATTTTCTAATTGCATAGAAGAGATAAGGTTACTCACTTCGATAGTCCAAGCAATAAATCTAACAGTGACGGGTTTGAGTTATCGAGAGGGCCTAAATTCAAATAATAACATGTCAGGATATGGAAATTCACGGGTCAGCTCGCCAAAGCAATAACTCTCCGCAGGGCACCGCTTGAAGAGATTTTGGTGTCCCTGGAAGCTCTTAAGTGCCACTACGAATCGGTAGCCGGAGGTGGTCGATTTCGCAGCAAACACGAAATCTAGGCGTCTGTGTCCGCTGCACGGCGCAGCGAACCTACTGAATTCCGTGTTGGACGATTCTTGTGACGCTGAAAAGCTCACTCAAAAGCAATAATACATTTTAGGCTAAAGAAACATCGAAGAAGACAAGTCTTTCGTGGGACTCCAAAGGGTCTCGAAGTCTTGCTATCAACTTCCGCGAGCCACGTCTCTCGAAGTTTGGCCGGAAAGCAGTATGAAAGTGGTCGGAAACGGTCGACCGGCATGCCCAGTTTTTCGAAACTCATCTTGCTGCTCTTGCGAAACTGAAGAAACCAACATGAAAGATGAGTTCGTGTTCTTACCCAGATGGGTTGCTTCCGGCGTTTCAGGCTGCTTCGCCACCGATCTGCCACCGTTCTGCAGCGCAAGATAAGCCTGTGAGTCACGTCTTCTTCTACTACTTCTCTTCCCCCATGTCGTTACCTGATCCGAAGTAAGTGACAGTATCATCTAAATTTGGGGTGGAGGATGTCTATGTGAGTATTCTATCTCCTTACTTCTTTTTTTGTTTGGTCTTACTTGCCTACCCTTTCTCTCTTTCTTAATTTTTTAAAGATTTTTTTTAATTTTTTTTTCTCTTTGTTTGTTTGTTTATTTATTTATTGCTTATATAACGCTTACTCGAAAACCCATCTTAGGATTGACCCAAAGAAATTCCGACTCAAAACAGTTGTGCGATTTGATTATTGAGGAACTCAAATTTAAATTGTAACCATGACGGTATATTACCGTGCTAATTTCTATATGCTTTTTTTATCCTTTGTTACCTTAATTGAGATTATCGTTTCATAATTTTAGTTTCGATTGTATTCTTTCTGGCGTATGGATGCACTCGTTTGGAAATTAGAATAAGTAAATCTGTATTTTAGCACTAGCAAAGCCGCACATCGATGTACGTAGATACTAAGAAAATTACATTCCAATCACTTAAATCAAATAAAAATCACATCAGGACGATCTCGTTATACATGATATTCCCGGTATAAATTATGGGAAAAAAAGTACTCAATTATTTTCAATCTTTAAAGTCATTTTTTCTGATCGGGTGATATTTTTGGCAGGGTCATTATGAATAGTGAAAAGCGCCTATTACTCGCATATGATTTGCATATCTTCAAGGTTTTAACTTCTATCAATTAACAGAAAGAAATTATTGATCTAATATTAAGAAATTGCATAGGTTTACGTGATAAAACGTTAAGAGATGGAAATGACTAACCATGCTCATAGAATTCATCATTTAATTTTCGCGGCATTAAACATTATGAAACTCATAGCGAAAGAAGATAATGTGGCACTAATCTAAAATATTCCAAGATTAGCCATCACCTTTATTCCGTTGTCTTTTTACATAGAGAGATAGATTGATTGACTTCGGATGCCAAAGAAGTAGAATGGAATGCCATTCTTATGGTGCGCATGACAATGTTTCTATGCCGGGAAACTATTTCTACTCAGAAATGGTTCTTTTTTATTCTGTGCCCGGAAACAATATCTAAGCATTTGAAGGCGTTTGGTAATTGTCCAAAATTTCTATGCCCGGGATAGAAAAGAACAGAAATGCGTTTGGTAACTACACAAAATTTCTTTTTATTAATAATATTTTGAATTGTTTAATATTTTGTTTTTTTCTTTCTACCCATTCTTTTCCTTGGCCATGGTCGGTCGCCGTGGCCGGCGGCGGCGGCCGGCCACGACCCGGGCCGCGAGGGCGTCACGGCCCTCGCCGGCCGCTGCGAGGCGAGGGTCCCCCTTGCCGGCAAGGGCGAGGGTCCCCCTTGCCGGCAAGGGCGAGGGCTGGACCCTCGCCGCCTGGGAGAGGCGACTCGACGTCGGTCATGGCGAGTTCGGCCTCGCCCGGATCGGCGAGGCCGAGCCTCGCCGTGGGTCACGACGGCGAGGCTCGGCCTCGCTAGATCGGGCGAGGCCGAGCTCGCCGTGGGTCGCGACGGCGAGGTCGGCCTCGCCCGGATCTAGCAAGGTCGAGCCTCGCGTCGCGACCCACGCGACCACGGCCGCCGATCCGGGTGAGCCGACCTTGCCATGACGACGGCGAGCCGCCTCCCGAGCGGCGAGGTCCGCCTCGCCCTCGCCGGCAAGGGGGAACCTCGCCTCCGCCGATGGCCGGCAAGGGCCGTGACGCCCTCGCCGGCCCTGGGCTGTGGCCGGTCGCCGGCGACTGGCCACAAACCAAGAACAGCAACACAAAAAGAAGAAAACAAAAAAAAGAAAATGAAGAAAAAAAACTGATTCTCAAAATTGTGCCGAGAAACAAGAAGCAACTTTTTTTTACTTCTTGTTTATCTTCCAAAACTATTTCTGGGCACAATTTTTTGCAAAAATGTGCCCGGGAACAAAAAGTTTACCAAACACATTTCTGTTTCTAAACTATTTCTGGGAACAAAAGAACAGAAATTTTTACTGTTTGGCACGTTACCAAACGGGCCCTTAATGTCATTTTCTCAGCTTGTACTTATCAGGAATAAAAGGAGGAAACCTCAGTACCAATTCAAGGGCCCGGCCCATAATATATCAAGGGGTTGGGCCACATGCAATGATCTGACATTTTTCATTGCTCTAAGCTTTTGAAAAGTAAACCCACCACCTCATTTTGTACAAGTATCTTTTGGTCGCGTTTGATCGTTTGAATATTTAGTCAGAATAGGACTGGATGAGATATGATATGAAATCCAGAGATTTTGTTACATTCTATTCACTGTTTGATGAATTACAGTAATAAAGTCGGATATTTTCATATCTTATCATACTCACATCACAATATAAATGAACTTGAAATGCAAAACGGAGATGGTAAGAATTTCTCATGATTTAATGCTAAAGAAATCACAAATGCACAAACGAAGATGACCTCCATCAATCGATTCATAATTATTGTACGATCTACATGTTGAATAGGTTCGATAATTCTTTTGCGACTGTGCCTTTGGGAGTAGTTCTAGAGATAATGGTGAAGCAACTCGGTGTATAGAGCACGAGCAAATTCACAAAGGCACAGTTGCAAAAGGAATCCCAGTCGAGTAGAATTCATCAAGATATTCAGTAATCCATGGCCAATCTAATGTCATGATTACTTTCGTAATTGAGCTTACCTTAGTTTTTTTTTGTTTGTTTGTTCTGTCTTACTCCAACTCTCAACTCACTCTCAGATTTTTGCCTTACCTCTTGTAGGGCGTGGGAGTCGAAACCCACATCTGAAACTATACATCCTTACCCCTAGCCTCTAAGAAGGCGGTGATTCGAACTCCCCACCTCCCCCTTTCCAAGTAGGAAGGGTGCCACTGGGGCAAACCCCAGTAGTTGAGCTTACCTTAGTTGGCTTGGAAGGATTTGATGAATAAGTTCTTGTTTCAAGCTCATGTGAAAGCGGAAATGATTTAAATTTCTCACTTTGAAGAGGATTAATTAAGCCTAAACGCATTTTCACTTGTGGATATCTAACTTAAATAGATTTTATTCATATAGCTAAGAATATCGCCCTTAACTTTAAGGCTACACCATCATAAAGTGCTGCTAAGTGGAAGGATCTTATCGACTTCCATGAATGAGAAATCATAGATTGAATTGCCAAAGTTTGGAAAAATTGGATGCTCTGAGAAGTTTTGTATCGGCTAAATTAACGAGTTAGAGGTAAGTGGTTATTTGCATTTATTTTTTTCTCAACTTAGCTTATTCTTTAAAAAAAATAGGAAGTTTTCTCCTGTCCACGTGAGGAATTGCGCCAATAGACTAGCAAAGGTCTAGTCCACGGATTTTTTTTTTCGAGATTGTGTCCTTAACAATAAATTAATTTTTAAGAATGTTTTGCAAGATCGACTTTGCAATTAGTGATAACTACTAGGACAACTCAGTTAGGACAAAGTGAACCCTTTAAACAAAACAACATGGAGACAAAAATGAAAGTTTATCGATATGATATATAACGCTAAAACCTATGATTGGTCTAATTTCACGATATATGGTATAGAATCACTAGGACAATCTCAATTGAATCGAAGATCTAATTAAGAACCCTTACCTTTTTTTTTGTGATTTCTTTCTCATGGCTACTTTAGAATCTTGGGAATTGTAGACGTTCGAATTTTCTTCCAAGAAAACGAGATGGCTTTAGTATAAAAGCATGCGGCACCTAGGAATTCGTTAGAGATGTTTATAATGCAATTTTCATTAGGTCATCACGATAAGTAAGACGCAATTTTGGACATCGTTACTAGCTTTAAGTTTGGTGGGACGAGCGAGAGAATCGCAAATTGGATTGCCATATAAGGGGAAAATTGTCCAAAAAGTCATTCACCTATTATATTTTTGTTAATTCAGTCATAAACCTTTTAATTTTGCCGATTAAGTTCTAATAATTTTCACATTTCACATACCAATCAAATCCATCCGGTCAATTTTGGCCACAAATTGATGTCGTGGATACCGACTGTCCAACGTGGTACGACTAGCGGTGACGTGGAAATTTTTAATAATATTTTAATATTTTTCGAATTTTTTTATCAATTTTTTTCTTTTCGTTTCTTTTGTTTGTGTTTTTACACCTCTGGCCGGCGAGGTCGCCGATCAAAGACCACAAGCAAGGGCCAGTGAACTTCACTGGCCATGGGCGAGGGCCGACACCCATATCTAGATGAGGTCTTCTGCCCTCGCATGTTGGCTGGTGAGGATCGCGAAGCCCTTGCCTAGTCTTGTGCAAGGGTGTGGCAAGGCCAGTGAGGCATCGCAGCCCTCGCTCGTGGCCAACAATGGTCACCTGGCGACCTCGCCAACCAAAGGTGTAGAAAAAATAAACAAAAGAAAAGAAAAGAAAGGAAAAAGTAAAAGATAAAAAAATTTGAAAAATGTTATAATATTATCAAAAAATGTAACCGTCAGCGCCAACCTTTCCACGTACGACGCCTAGCATCCACATCATCAATTTCCTGCTAAAATTAGCCGGATAGACTCAATTGGCAAAACGTAAAATTGTTTATATCTTAATTGACAAAATTAAAATATTTATGATTGAATTGGCAAAATTGCAATAGGTTTAGGATTTTTTGGACAATCTTCCCACCATATAAGCATATAGTTTCAAGAGCAAGGGAGATTTCATGGGATCACCATAAACTGTTCTAGAAGTTTAAGCCGTTAATGAATACGTGATTAATATTTAATTATTTTAACAATCTCGCTTATGAGTAGGCTAGATTTTAGCTTAAGAGTAAAGCGTGTAATTATATAAATGGAGATGACAAATAAAGGTCTGGAAAAATTTAAACTCGGGGACCTCTTGCTCTTATATCATATGAATTTTTGTGGAATCGCCATCAATCGTACGTAACATTTGATATTTAAATACTTTATACGGAGTAATCATTTTTGAAAGTACAAGTAGAGTCTGTAATGGAGATGTCCCTTGTCAATACAAG